AACTTCCATTGACTCTGGACAGTTTACACATAAAACATTAAAATCAAAGAAAATAGCAAGAAATAAAAATGAAGAGTAAAGTTGGCAAGAATGGCAAAACTGGACAGGATGAAGGAAAGCACACAATCACATCACCATTAGGGTGGGGGCAGTTGAGATCTCAGGGGAAACTCATTCCAGAAGGCACCCTTCCAGGGTCCTGATAGTTGGCATTGTGTAATTGAAGGGACCCGGAATGTGTCAACTGCAAGATCGAATCAGCTGGGCAGATATTATGGAAAATAGGTGGTCCCTCAAGTAACCTGGCCCTATGCCTTTATAGGTACTGACCAGCATCTTGAAGCATACCCAGAAGCAAACTGGCAACCAGTGCAGCTCACAAAGCAGAGGTGTTACATGAGCATACTGAGGCATGCCTATCACTGCCTACGCCACTACATTCTGGACTAGTTGAAGCTTTTGGGTAATCTTCAACAGCAGCCCTTTGTAGAGTACATTGCAGTAGTCAAGCTGTAAGGTGACCTGGGCTTGAGTGACTTTATGAAGGGTTCTCCAATTTAGGACAACTGGCACACCAGATGAAGCTGTGCAAAGACTTTCCTAGCCACAGCTGCCAGCTGCTCATCAAGCAGGAGCTGTGAGTCCAGGAAGACCCCCAAAATGTGTACCACCCTTGAATGGGGCAGTGCCATCCCACACAAGATCAGATATAGAATATTGCTAGATCCAGGTGGCCCAAACACCCACATAGGGAGGATTAAGTTGGAGATGATTCCTCCCATCCAAACCAGCACAGCCTCCAGGCACTGGGACAGAACCTTGACAACCTCACTTGGATGACACAAGTTGAAAAGATATAATTAGGTATTATTAGTATATTGATGATACCAAATCCCAAATGGCAGATGACCTAATCTAGCATTTTCATGAATGTGTTGAAAAGGAGGGGAGAGAGACTAGAACCCTGAAGGATCCCACAAAGGACAGGCCTAGGAAGCGATCTCTACCCCCAACCAACACTGACCGGAACCATCCCCAGAGAAAGGAAGAGAACTACCATAAAATGGTGCCCTCAATCCCCAACTGGTGGAGCTGGCTCAGAGGGACACCGTAGTCAAAGATATCAAAAGCTGCTAAGAGATCAAGCAACACAAGGAAGGTTGCACGACCATCATCTTGGCTCCACCACAGCTGTCTGTAAGGCCCAGCCCAAGAACAACAGTGAAACTCCAGTTCCTTTACTTGCTTACAACATATAGACAAAATCTTGCCAGATTGAATCTATACTACTGCAAATAGTGGGAAATTCTAGGGAGTGGCTATCCTGAACCTCTTATGTTTCTCATGTTCCCCCTGCAGACTGTGTTGTCTTTTGTCTCCTTTTCCTTCCTGGAATGCACCCCCTCCTTCCTGATAGCCTTGGTCTCTGTTGCTACCCCCCCCCCCGACTTCACCCTCCTCTTCATAGATACATTCCATCATATCGTCTCAGTAAATCCCAGCCTGAAAACTGACTGAAATCAGTCTAGGTAATCCGTTTTCTTCAGAATTCTCATCACCTGCAGAACAATCACCTTTTCAACAACTTTCCCCAAGTTGGAAGGTTGGAGACTGTTCAATAGCTATCAAAAGCCACTGGGTCCAAGGACGGCCTCTTAAGGAGGGGGCATGTCACCACCTCTTTCAAGGCAGGAGGCATTACTCCCTCCATTAAAAAGCCAACATCACAGCATGGACCCAACTGTGGGTCACCTCCCTGACCATTTTGGCATGGTGGCAGATGACTTCCCCAGTGGTTTCATATAGATGGAGACAGGAAAGAACCTTGAGGCACTGCACAAAGTAGAGGATTCTCAGTAGATCTCTCTTCTTCCACCACTACCAACTGGAACCAACTCTTTAGAAAGGAGAAGAAGCATTGCAAAACAATATTCCCCTGTCCAGTCCCTCAGAGACTGCCCAGATAAATACCATGTTCAATGGTATCAAGAACCACTAAGAAATCAGGGAGGACTAGGAAGGTTGCATTCCCTCAATCCCAGTCTCTTCAGAGGTTGTCCACAGACACAACCAATGCAGTTTCCATGATCTATCTGAGCTGGAACCCTGAGTGACCAGGGTCCAAATAGCCCATTTCCTCTAGGATCCTTTGCAGTTATAGGGCCACCATTTTCTCTACCACCTTTCCAAGAAAAGGAACGTTGGAGACAGGTCTATACTTTTCCGAGACAATTGGATCACATGAAAGCTTCTTGAGTAGGGGATGTACCAACATCTCCTTCAGAGGTGATAGAAACATTCACTCAGTGTTAATTGCTACTTGGATCCAAGCTTCCACCACCTCAAAGAAGGCCTTCACTAACCATGAAGATCAGGAATATAACTGAGAAGTAGCAGAATTAACACTGCAGAGGATCCTATTGTAGAGAGCCATGGAGATGGCCTTGAGGGAAATATTTAGAAGTTGTTACAAAAACAAAAAGGCCAGAAGCATTCCTTTACCCCGGGAAAGGAAGTAGTATTAGGAAGAGACTTTGGTTGACTCCCTACTACAGAGAAGGCACACCTGTAGGGTTTTCTTGATACCAAACCTGAAATCTTTAAAAATGGCTGTACTGTATAAATAAATTTACAATTACACTTTTAAAAGAATATTAAAAAATTATAAAAATTGCACTCTTTTGTGTAGTTTTTGAAGAAAAATACTGGATAATTGATTCTGTTCTTAGAAGAAAGATGCTTTAAGAGAAACTTCTCATGTTTGATCAGACTGGACAGCCGGGAAAAGAAATGGAAGAAGAAAAAGACGCAAACAAGTCAGAAATCAGTATAGTGTTTGAAATTGCACTGAAGCGCAACATGCCTGTCAGTTTTGAGGTATGTTTTACATGATTTCTGTATGACGTGTGTGTGTATTTTAATAAAAACCCTGTGCTCTGTCCAAAACGCTTAAGAATTAAAATGATTAAAAATATACTATGTTGACTACATACATGAATGAGTAAGACTGATAATTTCCATTAAGATTAAATGGCTGATTTTCAGATATTAGTTTATTGATTTGATTTCTACACCATCTTTCTATTGTGGCAAGTCACCAACCCTACATTCATTGTTGGTATAGATTTTTGTTCTCATTTTACCGTCCCACAATCATGTATTCACTACTAAGCAGGAAATTTGTATTTTTTTCTTTCAGGTGTGGGGTGAAAAGTTTTTACTAGAGGAAAACTATAAACAAAAGCAAGGTGCTTATCTCAAATGGCACTATATATTTTTACAACTATTTTCCTTTCAAGTAGATTTTAATGATTATTTATTATTTTATTCATACCTATAACAAACTTCATTCATACATCTTACTGTATGGATGAAAACAGGTTATGTATTTTCCTATATGGCTCAGTTTCTCATTTTGAATTACAACACTCTGAATATTAGAATGTATTGGCTGTAATGCTAATTCTTGCACAGTGTTGTATGTAAACTAAAGAATTTTGGTAAAGATGTTGACAGGTGTTTAATCTGTTATTATAAACAATAATTGTTCCCCAATTTGACCATACTTTTAATAGAAAGCTTTCTTACTTTTATCCAGATTATCGTAGCTGATGTTCAGGAGTATGCCTACTTAGCTTAGGTACAAAAATTCTACTGCTAATTTTAAACTAACAATAGATAATAGTGAAACATGGAAACAGGAAGGGCACTGGCAAGAAGTTCTTCATGTTTATCTCATGGCTTATTGAGAAGGGACTACCAAGCCTTCTCAAAAATGATGTAGCTGGCAAATTTAAATAGATTTCAAGGAAGCATGGATTTCAAAGAAGCAAGAATAACCTGAATTTCAGTAAGGGATCTTTCATGTTAGTCTGCAGTAAATAAAAAATCTTGCAAACTGTAATAGGAATCTCCTAGTCTCACTTATAGTTAGTTGAGCCTCTTTGTAGCACTTTTTTCCAGATCTCTCAGCACCTGGACTGAGTTGCCATTTCTGAGGTAATCTTTCAACTGACTTGCCCCCAACCATCCCACAGTCTCTCACATCAACATGTATTCCATTAGTGTCGGTCTCTATCCTTTGTCGAGAGGAAAATGTTGGTTTGCGACATAAATCATAGAGATTGGATCCAGGCCAATTTACTGGCACCTAGTTCTCACTGATATCAATGGAAAATGCCAATCTTAATTTACTTGCATCCTGTTGATTTTAGTGAATATTAAGTGTATCTAACTTTCTGTCCAAATCAATATGTGATCCTTTGCATAAACATATATAAACTCTTGTCAAAGTAGGACATGAAGCAAAGAGATAAAAAGAACACTAAATAAAGTGGGAAAGGCAAGAAAAGAAACAGTTTCATATAACAAATGGATAGCCACTAGATATGAAATTACCTGTTTTCCCTGGCATAGCTAGTTCAGCTTTCAGTTTCTTGTTTGGTCTTGGCAATTGCTGAAATTCTTCCCTTTGGCCTTCAGCCATGAGTAACAAATAAAGGTCCCCTGTCATGCTCTCTAAGACTTATATTCAGGACAATAGCCTGATAGAGATTCAAAGGGATGATAGAGCAGAATAAAGTTTGGTTTGATCTCCAGCCATTAAATGAAAATTGTTCTCTACTTATCTCTTTCTATCTGCCTCATTCCTCCCTCTTTTATTCTTCCAATCTTTTGAAAAAGATCTTCATCCAGATCACAGTCATACCAATATGACTAGAGGAAACTTTTGCAGGCAGTATTTTCTAGAAGTAGTGACTATGGCAAATTTTCACAGCATGTTTTCTTCAGAATGGTTGTTAATGTTACAGCCGGGAGAGAACCGTAAGAACACAAGATGAAATAGGCTAATAATATGGGTTTCCTTCACTTTTTTATGTATAACATGAGATGGTTACCTTAAGGTAAAGCCTTCACTTTGCATCGGCTTCCTCTGAACACATTCACCTGCTAACCTGAGGCATTTTCTTATTAAATAAAAACTTTACGGAGAGCAGAACCTATTCCATCTGCTGTTAGGATTTAGTTTTGACCCAGATGCTATATTTGGAAGCTAGATTTTATTACATACAGTGACACATCATTTTGTAACTGGCCATGAGATTTGCTGTTGTTAGTAGGATTTTAATTTGAGAACTTTCAGTATTATTTCATATCAAGCACGGATACAAATTTTCAAATATCATTGTTTACATGATATTTACAAAGTAGCTTGCATTTATTTTAGGTTACAAGACCCACAGAAAATATTATATCATCACTGTTACATAAGTTAGCAAACAGTTAAAATATTTCAAGTTTCATGTAAACAACTTATTGGATTTGCACAATATTTGAAGAATGGGTAGGGTGTGTAGTGTCACTCGAAGCCAAGTTCTGCCCAGTGATGTCAGCAACTCTGCCTGAGGGCAAAATCTTGTCCTAATTATTAAATCCAAAGGGATTATGCTGTTACCTAATCCCATTCACTCTGCCTTATAAAGTAGACTTGAGTTTTATTTACCCTTTTAAAAAGAAATGCTGTAAAACGTCTTAGTAAATTGTCTGGTTTTCAGTCACAGTTTTTTTCCAGTTAAATTCTATTGCTGTCTGTTGTTTAGCATTGTAAAGACAGTTTTCCCTAACCTACTACAAATGGGTTGTGTTGGCTGGGATATCATATGGACTGAAATCTAACATCTGGAGGGCATCAGGTCAGCATCAGTGCATTTAAGAAGACCCTTGCTATGCAATATTGAAAACTAATTTAATTTAGTCCACCATCCTTTTTACAATAGTAGTCAATCAGTTTGAAGGTAACAGTCCTCTCTATAAATCGGAAGCAACTATGTTCCCTGATAGAATGCCTCTGATACTGTAGGTAGCCACCAATAGCTATTATGGCTATTAGCTATTAATACATCTATGTTTCATTTGTGCAACATCAGGACACCATATTCATTATTTGGACGTTTTTGTCTGCCTTGAATCTGGTTTGTATGTGGACATCTGCAGGAGCCTGCTGCCTTGAACAGAATGATGAAAGCAGCATTGTGGTATTGTACCACAAGCTTCATTATTTTCATACATGTATAGAGATGTGACAACTCATATAGAAAGAGGTAGGGCTTGCAATGCCACGATGCTTTCTTCATTCTTCTCCCCAGTGCCCCAGCCAACCCCTGGATGCTGTTGGGTTTCTGTAAGTTTTTTTGGCATCCTAGAATAAAATCAGATCACCTGCCCTATCTCTGTATCAGTAACATAACAACTGCACATATAAAAGGAACTGCTGAAGCATTTATTGTGGCAGTTGGTGAAGGTATGGACATATAATTCTGGTGCTAAGATGGGGAGCTTGCTTGTCAAGGAAAAGAGATTTTTTGAATGGCGGATTGTTAAACTGATAAGTTGCAGTGGAGAAATGGGTCATACTGCGTAATATTTTTAAACAGGTAAACATTTATGTGATTAAGTACATTGATATTGTATAGGCACATGTGTGTATGTGTATGTGTGTGTCTTGTTTATTTCCTATAACATGTTTTTACAAAGCACAGGAAAAATATTTGGAAATATATGTGTATCCATTTGTTTTTAAAATCCAGCCTGATAAGTATAAACTATATGCAGCAACACAGTTTTAAATTCATTAATGAAAAACACAATTATGATTACAAACATAAGGCTTAAAAGAGCAATAAGATAATGAAATGAAAAATAATTCATTTAATATTCTTAAAACATAGACTGTTTTCCTCAGGCTTTGGAGACCATATTGATGTTCAAAAGAAGGGCTTTCCACAGCTTTGAAGTAACACAGGAGTCCTTTTTCTATGGGTTCACAAAACATCTGGCAGATTCACAGTGAGACAGATAGTTGTTTATAGCCCAATAATCTAAGCAGTATCTGCCTTTAAAGAATAACACAAATATCTTGAACTGAGCCTGAAATGGTGTTGGCTTCCAATACAAATGTCAGAAGATTATGAAAAGATAGCTTTGTCCCCTTATTTTGCACTACCTGAACCTTCTAAATGCTTCTTAATGTTAGCCCCACATACTGTACATTATAGCAATGTACAGGTAGTCCCCAGTTTATTTATTTTATATATCATATTTATATAGCCACCCATCTCACCCAAAGTGACCCTGAGTGGCATACAATTAATAAAACATGAATAAAAACAGGCATATAAAAGATAAAAAGTTATTAAAATAAAAACATTATCACAAATGTTAAAAAATGTAAGTTTTAAAACAAGTTCCGTTCCTAAGGTCTGTCCTTAGGTCGAATTTGTATGTAAGCTGGAACAGTATTATTGTATAATACTGTATAAGTAATATTGTGGAATGAACTCAAACCATTATGTATTTAACTCGAATCATTGTGTATTTAACTTGAATTTTGCTACAGTAGGCTCTGTTCTTAACTGTGGGTTGTCCGTAAACCAGGCGTTCTTAACCCGGGGACTGCCTGTAATTATAATGCAAATAAGAGGTGGACCACTGTGGCCACACTGATCCATCGTAGGACACATATGCTGTTTACAGTAATAGCAATAATCATGAAAAAATATTTTACAAATTTTAAAAAGCCATTTCTAATGATTCTGTAATACATACTTTTGCTGTAGCATTAATACTGGACCAGTTGTAATATTTATTATTTATATAGGGGTCTAACACAAGGTGCTATATATCTGCTTCCTCCTGCAGATGCCCAGCAAGTATTGATTGACTTTTATAGGTATGGTGAGAGAACAAAATCCCACACAGGTATATATATACAGGATTTGTGTAGTACTTTAAATGGTCTAATATGTATATAATGTTAGTTACAGTCCTTATACAACTCTGTACATTAAGTCAGTATTACTATCCTCCGTAGTGCAAATGAAGGGTGAAAGAAACTGAGTTGCCTCACGCTTAGTTCAGACAGAAGTGAAGTTCAATCATGGGAGTTTCCTGTTCTGTGCTCTCTCTCTTAGATGCTACACTTCACTAGCTCTCTCAGTCAGAATCATAGGAACATATTTCTGTGTAAACATGATGAAGATCCGGTTTTAAGGAAGTTCTAAATCACAAAAAATCACAGTGATTTTTCATTATCTGAAAAAGAAAATACATTAGGAAGCCTGTTTAGCACAATGGATTATTCATCCATTTATTTTTAATAAATGCAGTTTTATATATTAGAAGTCTGTTCTATAACCATTTTATTTACTCTTTTTTGGCAAATAGATAATAAAGGAAAGTGGGCCCCCACATATGAAGAGTTTTGTTACTCAAGTATCAGTTGGAGATTTCTCAGCTGAAGGTGAAGGAAACAGCAAAAAGCTCTCAAAGAAACGTGCTGCAATAATTGTCCTGCGAGAACTTCGAAAACTTCCCCCTCTTCCTGTAATTGAAAAGCCAAAACTTCATTTTAAAAAACGTCCAAGAACAATATTAAAAGTAAGAGACTTTGTATGTATGACTTAGAACTTGGTATGTCCTAATAAGATTGTTAACTATGAAATCTTGTACTTCATCTGGAGATATATATCATGTTGATTGATGGATTGATTGATTATGTGCCATCAAGTCGTTTTTTACTCCTAGCAACCACATAGATAGATTTTCTCCATGATGAATATATCATGTTAGGTGTTAACCCGCTGCCCTCCCCCGCCACCCCAGTAGAATATGAATCCACTAGTACAATTGTATTCATGTTTTGTGATATACAGAGCATAATGTCTTTCATTCTGGAATAATATATAGCAATCATGACTTGTAGCCGTTCAGATATTGTCAGTGAAATGCTGGGATTTTGTTAAAGACTTCCATGATTTAACTTGATCTTCCTTTGACACAGTGCCAGGGAGGTATCCTAATCTAGGATTTGAACAGTGAACACAGACACAACAACTGTCTATGAATGAGAGCCAGAATTCAATTGTTTCAGATTTTATAAGTTACTCCAGGCTGATCAGAGACAGTATAACTGTGGACTCAGAGATAATACAAACATCAATGTCTAAAAAAACAGACCTGCCACTGCGTACAGATAGTCCTCACTTAACAACCCTAATTGGGACCAGCAACTCCATTGCTAAGTGACACAGTTGTTCAGCGAAATGTCACATGACTGCCTCACTTAGCGACAGCAGTTCTGGGAGTCCCAGCAGTCCCAGTTGCTGTCATTGAGCGAATCCTACACAATCATTAGGTGAGGACCCATCCAGATCTAAGCCATTCTTGGAAGCAGGTAAGGAACTGCCTCCACCAACTTCCTCCACCCCACTATCTCCCCCCATCTTTGCCCTTTTAGCTGCCTGTCTACCCACCCCTGCTCACCTATCCACCGTCTGGCCCCAACCACTGCTGCACTGCATGCCATTACCAGCTGGGCCTTCTTTATTGATGCCTTCTTTTGCACCAGCATAGTCAGGGCCTTCTTTGAAGGAAGGACCTGGCCAGTGTGTGAAAGAAAGCCCTGGCCAGTAGTGGCACATGGCATAACACACATCTGCCCACCCATGGCACCTGACCTCCTGCCTGTAATCTCACTTGCTGGCTTGTGGGATGTTTCCACAGTGTCTCTCCTGCTCATGGCTGGGTTGGTGAGTTCATTGGAGAGGAAGCAGGCGAAGATGCTGAATATCAGCTGGGAATAGGGGGCAGTGGCAGCAGGAGGGTGGGTTATAAATGCGGGAGGGCCTGAATTTTGTTCACGTGACCACAAGGACAGTGTGATGGCCAGAACTTTGAGAACCATTGTAAGTCCATTTGTTCAGCAACATCATAACTTCAAACAGTTGCTGAACGAATGGACGTTAAGCCACCATAGACTACCTCTATTGCATTTGAAATCAGTTAACCTGAGGATACCAACAAGATTCCTTAGTCCCTTCCTTGAATGACTATTCTTAATTCAGTATCCTTTACTCCCCAGTGAACTGTCATATTGAAAAAAAATATTAAAAAGCTCTTACCATTATGATTGCTTTGGACGCTAAACGACATACTTTGTTTTATTTAGTTGTACAAGTTATATAGATTATATTCTGTAAAAATATAATCAAGGTTGCTAATAACTTCCCCAAGTTTAAAAAATATACAAAAATAATGTTAAAATGTTGCAGCACAGCTGCTTATAATAAATTATTTTACTGTTATCTTCCCAGTATACGTATATTTACTTCTGACAATGCTCAGGATCCAGCTTGCAAACTCAGATATGGAATTCCATGGGAAGGTAGAAGTTGTGCAGAGGGAAGAAAATTTCTGGCAAAAGCTTGTGGCAGATGAAGGGCTAAGCACTTCATTCCCATATTCCTACTCTTCCCAGAGCTGCAGTGCAACCTTAATCTGGGCTGAAAAAAAGTATTTAAATCGCAAATAGTAGCAATGTCAAATGATTATACAGGGAGTCCTTGAGTTACAATGGCAATTGGGACTGGGATTACTGTCACTAAATGATGCAGTTGTGAAGCATGATGTCATGTGACTGCATTGCTTAGCAATGGGAATCTAGGCAGTCCTGGTTGCCATTGTAACCCCAAGATGTGAGAGGCATCAAGCGGGAAGTGGTGGGAGTCCCAGATAAATGCAGGGGTGCAGCAAGGGGCTGAGGGAGGCTTTAGAAGGCCCAGCACAGGGCACATGCAAGTTGGGGAAGGAGGTACTGCAGTGTGGCATAAGTGCAGGGTGGTCGAGAGAAGGAGGGCATGGGTCAGTGCAAGCGCAGGGATGCTGAGGGAAGGAGGGCATGGGTTGGTGTGAGTGCTGGGAAGTTGACAGAAGGAGGGTACAGGTCTGCATGAGTTCAGGGAGGCTGAGGGAAGGAGGGTGCATATTGGTTTAGTGCACAGGAAGGCCGGAAAGGACTTACCAGAGCAACTTGTGACCTTCCCTGCCAGCTTCCCTGCCAGCTTCCCAGTTGATTTTGTTTGTGGGAAGCTGGCAGGGAAGGTCGCAAATGGCAATCACATGACCGCGGGATGCACAAGCATCATAAGTGCAGGGTTGTTGCTGAGCACCCGAATCGTGATCATGTGACCGCAACACGGGGCACTGCAACAGATGGAACTTTGGGGACTGGTTGTAAGTACCACTTGTTCAGTGCCATCACAACTTCAAACAGTCGTTGAACGAGTAGTCAGTAAGTGAAGACTACCTGTATCTAATGCATGTATGATATGAATATAGGCATCATTCCATTTTTTAAAATTAAAAAGAAACATGCATTTTATAAAAGGTAGACTGCTAAATTTTGTCCTTTTGTCTCATTCATATCAAGAAAAGGTAAGATAGACAGCTAGTCCTTTCAAAAGATTGCCATATGTTATATTGTGTGCTTAATATAAACTAAGAATACAAGATCAGCTGATTGTTGCTTCTCTTGAGAGCCTGGGCCACCAGAATGTTTTTATGAAAGGGCAATAGTTCTCACATAATGACTCCCATATGATGAGTAGCTTTGTTTGTTCTATTTTTACTTTTATCTTTTCTTTAAAATCTCTGGTAGAGATACAAAGGAGTCTGGCTGCATCCAGTTAGACCTTATGGGCTCATGATGTTTATAGACAGCTGAGCAATATTCAAAAGCAAATGCAGCTTTTATCATCTGTACATCACTGTTCCACCAATCTAATTCCCCCCACTCCAAAGTTAACTGAGAAAGCAGATATTCAGTAGCAGCCTGACATCCCAGGTCACTTCTGAACAACTGCAAAGCAGTGAAGCAGCAGCAATGGAAAAGGCCCATAATGCTTCTCCTGCCTGCATGCCATTCTCCTTGAAGTGTTTCCCCTACAGCTTGTTCTTTTTTTGACAAATTGGATTCTGGATACAATCTTACTATATAAATAAATAAATCGTAGCAAATAGATTGCATTGGCTAAGCAGCAACATGAAAAGCATTAAAGCATTCTATGACACCATTCTTACTATTGTGGTCCTAGTTCTAAGCTAATGTGTCTTGTCCCCGTTGGATGAGTAAGGCTTAGAGCTGATCTAAAGACTACTACTGATGATTGAAACAGGTCTCATGGCAACTTCTTCTCAATCTTTCCCACCATTGCTCTCCCATACACAGGGAACAAAAAGCCCACATGTCAGTCATCTCCTGCATTAGGCAGGAATTCAGGAAAAGATACAGAAGTATTAGACTCGATCTATATAGGTAGTCCTTGTTTAGTGACTGCCTCATTTAGTGACCGTTCACAGTTATGATGGTGAGGAAAAAGTAACTTTATGACCAATCCTCGCATTTATGACCTTTGAGGTCTGTAAAGCAAAATATGTTCATAAGCAGAGTTGCAGTTTCACTTAGCAACCATTTCACTTAATGACTGAGTTGCCAGTCCCAATTGTGGTCGCTAAACAAGGACTACCTGTATTTTTTAGCCATGGAAAGATGGATCCTGGAAAAAATAATGATCTGCAAGAATAATTCAGAGCTAGAACTTCAGAGTAAATTTCTTGCACCTAGTGATTTGTCTATGCTCCTACAAGAGTAGTACCTGATTCCTTTGCTTAACCTGAATATTGGCCAATCACCTCCTTGGCTTTTATTCTCACTATCACCTCTGCCTGAGGATATTAATGTTAAATCACAAGTTGTAATGTTGGTTTCTAGGGTATATGTTTACATTTTAGTTTCTCATTGAAGATATTCAGGAAAATAGTGAATTAACAAACAAGACAGATTCCTCTGTAGACAAATGTGTAAGAGAAGTGAAGAAGTGAAGAACAGAATGAAATGTGTCAACTGTTTATTTGTTCCATGTTTGGACATTGTATCTGTAGGGAGCATGTTCCTCTTTTAAGCACCATAAGAAAACTGGTTCAATAAATCAGAAATACTCTTTTGTACCAGGGCACATGAGAAAAGGGAGAATTAAACCTGTTGCCATTATCGATCTAACAATCATAGTTTTCTGTGCTAGAACATCTGGACTGATCCATGGTGGAAAAGCTATTACCTAGTGGAAGCAAGGGATCCCTAAGTCCAATAGTCATAAGCTCCTGAGGTTGTACTCCTTGCCTTTGTTTTATTGTCTTATATAGGCAGTAGGGTTCTTTCTAACATTTTCTAACCTATCAGATAGTCCTGTAAGTAGAAAGGGTTTACTGCCTTTGCCAAAAACTTGACTATATTTCAGTGAATTAAAACCATTGTTTTAATATAATTTTTGTATTACTTTCCAGAATTATTTTATATATTATATTATATATGTATTTACACTTACATAGGTTTATATTTTGCTTTGAAAATGCATTTGGTGTTTACTGTGTTGTCAAGCTGCCATAGAAAATTAGGGAAAAGACTGGGGAACATATATATTGCTGTTACATGTTCATATTTGTAACTTTGAGCAATTCTCTGCTATTACTGGACATGTAACAATTCTACCTTGTGTGTTTGTGCTCCCAGTCCCTCATACGTAGATACATAGCCTTATATGAAATTAGGCAGAGATCTTTTACGTTTGGCATTTTTTAAAATTGGGGATGCCAACATTTGTAAATGCTTTTATTTTCATGCAAAATTTGAGTTCCCTCTTCAGTCATTATTACTTAGAGTATTGAAAGAAGAACAGTATCTGTCCTTTTACTATCGGAATTGAAGACACATATTTAGGGATGCATATTTATTGGGACTAAACTTTACTTGGTTTACATACATGATTATAGAAATCAAATTAGAAAAAGTGAAAACGTTTAATTAATAGTTTTATATTAATCAAATTAGTCAAATTACTTATTCCGATGTCTATGAAAAACAAATTTAGTTTTTTCTCATCCTTCAGAAGAATATTACAAGAAGCTCTTTGTTATAACTCTTTAATTCTGAAGAATTCAGTTGGAGTTTCAGATCATAGTTGCTTTATAATTATTGTGTCTATAAGTAAATATTGAATTGTAACCTACTTAGCTATCAAAAGTGTTTTCTCTTTTACTGAATATTAGTGTTCTTTTTTGTGCTTTAATGAAGCTTCTTTCTAAACCTCCTAAATTCCTGTGAGCTCAGGTTTCCTAAATGGAGTGTTTATTTCTGGTGGCAGTAGATTTATTGCCACTTCTGTAATTCATGAGCTTCAGTTTTGAGGGGCTGGCCCTGATTTGTGTATTCATCTGAAATTCCTTTTGAAAGTGGGGGAAAGGGCTAGACTTAGTTTTATCTGCATTAAATCTGATCAAACTCAGGTGCTGTGTAAGTCAGCCATATGCCATTCTCTGTATAATTTGTGAAACATTACCACCTAGGGCTTAATCATAAAAGCATCTCTTAGCCTCTCATCTGAGAAATAGGTTTTGTAAAAATCCCCTTCCCATGTTATTTTATTGATGTTTGTTAGGAAGAAAATAATAGTGGAGTGGAGCAGTTAAAACTATTTAACCATAAGTGATGTTTCCTTACACCTTGTTAAGTCATATACAGCAAAACAATACTAAGCAAGTTCTTTCAGAATTCAATTTCTTTCATTACAGTTGCCCATTTTACAAGCTATAATACCCCGAACAACAAAAAACTGTCAATCCAGAGGGCTTGAATGAAAGCTTATTTACTTTCACTGGAATTAATGGAAAGATTGTCCATAAATTTGATGTGAATATAATTTATATTCATAGTTTAAAATAATCACTTTCTAATTAATATACTCTGCTAAAGTAATCCATTTTACTTAAATTCCTATTTGTTTTCTATTTGGTGTGTGTGTGTGTGTGTGTGTGTGTGTGTGTGTTTCAATGCAATTTTTCAGTATTTAATAATATAACATATACCCAAATAGACATTTTGGATAACTGAGTTGCTTAAATTCAACCTTAGCTTGCCTGTTACACTGTTATACAAATCACTGCTGAAAACTGACTTCTGTATTAGTGCTTCAGTCTTACTTTATTTTTGTGTCATTAGTAGATTCTTCCCTACTATTTTGGCACATTACTCAAACATAAGTAACATCAAATATGCATTTTACTTTCTCTGTGCATATTACACCCAGCATATAGTTCTATATTATCAGTGTTGATAACTAGCTGTGTGAACTAAACATTTTTCTTACTTTAATTTATCATGAAGGATGCTTTATATAGATTTTCTAGAGGAGGAATGATGTGTGTCAGCCCTATCTTTTAATCCTGTCTAGTTGTGTAGTATTAGGAAAGCTAATCTCTCTGACCTTTCTCCTTTTTGCCTGCAAAAAAGATCTAGTAAAATTTACCTATCTCACAGTATTGTTGCAAGGTCTGAAATGGCCAGACAAAACAAATCAGGAGGATACATTTGCTGTTCAAAGTTGTTTGCATCATTTAAAGCATACTGTATACAAATCATGGAGAACAATCTAGAATCAAGAAGCTTACTTATCTTGATGTGAAGTGGAAAGTTCCTGTGAGTTAAGAAAGCCGGCATAAGAAATTACTTGGAAACATGAATCTTTGGTTTGGTATGTACTGCATATTCTAGTTTTTTTTTTTCCCCCAGAATGAAAAAGGGATAGGATTATGGAGTCAAGCTATTCAGATTTCTGGTCTTGAAATCAGAAGCCTTTCTCCTTGATTCATCATAGTATGAACTGAATGACTCCAGGGTTTTGCAGTCCTAAAAGTATGTGATGTTCTGGTACAGCTAAATCAGCCATGGTGACTGCCTAACTGTGGTGGTGGATGCTTCTCTCTCACTTCAGTTTAATCACTTTATCTCTAACATTTTAGCTAACATCTCATTTAAAAGCTTTTTGCTTTTTGACCTCTTTATTATCTTTTCCTGCAGTCCTTTTTAAAAAGAATCTTAGCTTCCTGTCTAGCTCAATGCATTCATCAATATACCATGTTTCAGGAGAATTCCTAAGGTAGCATAGCACAGTAGCTCACTGAGAAATATGTATATAGGAATCTAAAACTTGCCCTGCTTGCTTTTTTTTCAAACGTGTGTGTGTGTGTATAAAATATTAGTATTGAATGGACAGCCAAGAAACAAATAAATGGATCATCCAACAAATCAACCCAGAGTTCTCACTTGAGGCACAAATGACCAGGCTCAAATTATCCTACTTCAGATACATGCAGAGACTCAGCTTTCTGGAAAAGGCTTTAATGTTGGAAAAGGTGGAAGGAAAGAGAGGAAGAGGATGACCAGCAGCAAGGTGGAT